AACTATTTTTTTTTTTTTAAATACTTTGCGACACCAGGAGACACCTCAGGATTTGGGGTTGTGACAGTCAAAGGTTTAATCCATTCCAGACAAAAATATTCACAAAAAAATAATTTTTTTTTTAACAAATCAGATTTACATACCTTTATTGAAGACTAATGCTACACTTCCTGCATGCCTGCTACACTTCCTGCATGCCTGCTACACTTCCTGCATGCCTGCTACACTTCCTGCATGCCTGCTACACTTCCTGCATGCCTGCTACACTTCCTGCATGCCTGCTACACTTCCTGCATGCCTGCTACACTTCCTGCATGCCTGCTACACTTCCTGCATGCCTGCTACACTTCCTGCATGCCTGCTACACTTCCTGCATGCCTGCTACACTTCCTGCATGCCTGCTACACTTCCCGCATGCCTGCTACACTTCCTGCATGCCTGCTACACTTCCTGCATGCCTGCTACACTTCCTGCATGCCTGCTACACTTCCTGCATGCCTGCTACACTTCCTGCATGCCTGCTACACTTCCTGCATGCCTGCTACACTTCCTGCATGCCTGCTACACTTCCTGCATGCCCGCTACACTTCCTGCATGCCTGCTACACTTCCTGCATGCCTGCTACACTTCCTGCATGCCTGCTACACTTCCTGCATGCCTGCTACACTTCCTGCATGCCTGCTACACTTCCTGCATGCCTGCTACACTTCCTGCATGTCTGCTACACTTCCTGCATGCCTGCTACACTTCCTGCATGCCTGCTACACTTCCTGCATGCCTGCTACACTTCCTGCATGCCTGCTACACTTCCTGCATGCCTGCTACACTTCTGCATGCCTGCTACACTTCCTGCATGCCTGCTACACTTCCTGCATGCCTGCTACACTTCCTGCATGCCTGCTACATTCCTGCATGCTGCTACACTTCTGCATGCCTGCTACACTCCCTGCATGCCTGCTACACTCCCTGCATGCCTGCTACACTCCCTGCATATCTGCTACACTCCCTGCTATGCTACACTGCAAAAAACAATGGAAAACAAGTGAAATATTTGGATGTATGAGCAGAAGCTTCCTCACGCACTGAGAGACGCAGCCAAACTGACGTGCAAGCGGCCCCAGCCGACTGATCACCAGGAGCCAAAAAACTGGCCGATCACCGAGTTGGCCGATAACAGGAACAGCTGATAATCGAGGGTCCGCTGTATAATAATAATAATGTACTATATAATAATAATTATAATAATAGTCGGCTTCAAAAGGCCGTCACTAGATGGCAGTGATTACCACAATAATGCGGAAGCGGTTGTGGCTGCCTCCACCTGTCACATAATGACATATTTTATTCATTCTAGAGCATATATCAGGTTTCTATGTTTATTTTGTTTATTATGTCATATTAGATGAATTGTGATAGATAAATAAACTGTAGAGTTGATATTAGGGAATTCCAAGGGAACGGTTTAATTCCATTTCAATTAATTTAAATGAGGATAATTGACTCTGCAAACGAGCAAATCCAGATGTGAGCAAGGTCACGGAATGGATTAAACTTGTTAGTAGAGGTTCCACTGTATTTGAATTAAATGAGGTGTAAAGCATTCATTATATAATACAATAAGGGTGTATTGCTCCTCCATTAACCCTTTCAGTATCGAGACCCCCTGCTCTCAAATTTGCTCTCAAGGTCGAAGAATTTAAATATATATATATATATATATATATATATATATATATATTTATATATATATATATATATATATATATATATATATATATATTATATATATATTATATATATATTATATATATATATATATATATATATATATATATATATATATATCTTTCTTTCTTTCAACACACCGGCCGCATCCCCCGAGGCGGGGTGGCCCAAAAGGAAAAACGAAAGTTTCTCCTTTTACATTTAGTATTTATACAGGAGAAGAGGTTACTAGCCCCTTGCTCCGGCATTTTAGTTGCCTCTTACAACACGCATGGCTTACGGAGGAAGAATTCTGTTCCACTTCCCATGGAGATAAGAGGAAATAAACAAGAATAGGAACTAGAAAGAAAATAGAAGAAAACCCAGAGGGGTGTGTATATATGTGCTTGTACATGTATGTGTAGTGTGACTAAGTGTAAGTAGAAATAGAAGACGTACTGAAATCTTGCATGTTTATGAGACAGAAAAAGGACACCAGCAATCCTTTCCTTCATGTAAAACAATTACAGGCTTTCGTTTTACATTCACTTGGCAGGACGGTAGTACCTCCTGGGCGGTTGCTTTTCTACCAACCTACTACCTATAATATATATATATATATATATATATATATATATATATATATTTATATATATTATATTATATATTTTATCTTATGAAATGATAGAGAATCTTTTTCCAAAGGTAATGAAGCCAAAAGTACAAAATTTGATGGAAAGCTTTTGGAATTATGCTCTTGCAAATTTAATGGCCTTGGCAATATTTATGCATTGGCAATTTTGCCCACTTTGCACTCATTTTTGGCCAATCCCATTGTTCCAGTCCTCCAAACTTATAGCCATTTCACTAGTATTCTTTCTATCAATTGAGTACAAGAAACCACCCATTTACCTATTTCAACTATGCAGTAAAGTGATCAGAAATCGGTAATTTGGCCAATTTCTTACAAAATTCAACAATTGCCAGTTTGAAAATAGGATCCAGAATAAACAATGTAGACATTCCTGGCACTAAATAAACATTTCCTCTGTTCTTTAGTCATGTCTCCAGGCCCCTCATATATTATGCTTGCTTTTCATTTTGAATTCTTATTCACAAAAAAAAAAAATGATTTACTGTTATGCAAACTACTGCATTATTGTAATAATTGTATAAATAATGTCAGTGCACTTCTAAATGTGTATTAGATTGGCCAGTATTGGACAAGTGTACTCTGTGTACTTTGTGTACTCTGGAATATTGGCAAAAATCAAACATTTCTGTCACTTTGAACTCAATTTCAAGCTACTTCCAATTCTCAAACTGATCAAAATTATGAATATTTCTGTAAGATATCTTCCATTCTATTAAATTAGACCAAGAAACCAAGAATACAACGATAAAAACCATAAGAAAATACACCACAAAAGTCGCTGTTTTAAATAAAAAAAAAACGGTTGCTATTTTTTTTTTCTCATGCACTGCATGCTGCAGGATTATTTTTACAGCAGGGCCCCGCTTTATGGCGTTTCACTTTACAGCGTTCCGCTAATACGGTCATTTCAAATTATGACCAAAACTCGCTATACGGCTCCCCCCACCTGACTTTTTAATACGGTCACCGCGCCCCACCCTGTTTGTTTACATTCTTCGTGAGCTCAGTAAGCACTAAGTCTCTCCATTTTGTCTGGAAACTCCAAAATTTCAAATGTTTTTAAAAATTATTTCATATTTTATATATACTCTGATAATTATTCTTATGTATACCTGTACTTAAACTTACATACTGTGCTGGCATGCAGGTAAACATTAAAATCAGTAAGAGTGTCTTATGTCTCCAGACGTCATATTAGTAATGATAATAATAATCATCGAGTCTCATTTAAATGTCGTATATTACGTTAAATACACATTTTCATTAATCCATCCATGATATTTTTTCAAAATTATATAATAAACACGATACATAACATAAAAAGATGATAAATACACCTTACAATAGAATAAATAAATATGAGATGTGGTAGCCAGATAACTTGTACAAGTTACGCCAAGAATAACATTTTCTCTAATCTAACATAAGAGAAAATGTGTTACTGGGGGTAACTGTAGAAAATTATTCCTTTCGTATGTATGTAAGTAAGTTTATTCAGGTATACACAAATACAGTTACATAGATTATCATACATAACAACATATGTGTAGAGAACCTAGGATAACCCAAAAAAGTCAGAGTGACTTATTTCCATTGCCTTCACTCAGAGCATCATTTCTTCTCAAAATGATGTTACATGAGAATGGGAGTGTTCTTCTTTATTTATTCTACCGTATCAATGTAGAGACAACCTGTACACAATGTAACTTGTACACAAACCAGACGTGTACACTTTGTTTACAAAACTTACCTTCGCCTGGTTTGTTTACATAACTCTGCGCCTGTCCTCTCTCATGCACTCATTCTTTCTCTCTCTCTCATTTATTCGTTTTATCTCATTTACTTACTCCTGACCCTACATTAAGACTACAAATATTTTAAGGTAAGTAATGAGTGAACTATATACATTTTATCGCTCTTGGATGCTTAAATGTAATAGAAATTATGTGTAGGTGGGTTGGCCTGGTATGGTAGCCCGGCTGACTACCATACATACCACACATGATTTTTTACAATAAATACTACTCATCTCGCCCTATATTTTAAGGTAAGTAATGAGTGAACTGTATATACATTTTATCGCTCTGGGATGCTTAAATATCATAGAATTATATGTGTGGGTGGGGTGGCCTGGTATGGTAGCCTGGCTGACTACCATACATACCACACTTGATTTCTTACAATAAATACTACTTGTCTCACCCTAGATTAAGACTATAAATATTTTAAGGTAAGTAATGAGTGCACTATGTGTGTATTGTACTTTTTTATTGTTTTTTGATGCCTGGTTCTATTGCTAACTTAATATATGTTAGTGTAAACTTGTTATCTAGTGTTTGTATGCATTTGTAAGTGGAAAAAGAGGGTGTTCCACTTTACGGCGGTAGCCTGGAACCTAACCAGCCGTATAAGTGGGGCCCTACTGTATATGGTGCACACTTACTACATAGACCCATTCTTTCATATCTAGGCCCAAAGTTACCATTCACAATTGCCTGAATAAGCTGAGCTCATGGCGTCATACTACGAGACCGACACTGAAAGGGTTAAAATAGGGGATTTTTTATTTTTATGAAAAAGGTTTGTCATAATTTTTTGTTTATTTTATCATTATATATCTAACATTTTGTTTGTATTTCAGACATAATGGAAATATTTTGCTGGACAATGAGGGTCATATCATACACATAGACTTTGGCTTCATGCTGTCATCATCACCACGTAACTTAGGGTTCGAATCCTCACCATTCAAGCTAACACAAGAGTTGGTAGAGGTTATGGGTGGAGAAAACTCAGACATGTTTGCTTACTTCAAGATCCTGCTCTTGCAAGGTCTAATGGCTACCAGGAAGCATAGTGAGAAGATCCTCTCCTTGGTTGAAATCATGAGCTCTGGTAAGTGCTTTCACAAGTGGTATTTCTTTCACTTGTATATGCTGGCCATTCAGCCTCTCCTTTATTGCTTCATTGTATACTACAGCTGTTCCATTTATGATAAGAGGTTTTCCTTATGGGTTATAGAATTTGAAGATAATATAATCTGGATATTAAATATGGCTTAAGGATGTATCAATAATGATTATGAAATAAGTAGAAATGAAGTAATTTGAATGGTTATGGTGTATCTGAATATTGCTGGATATACAGGAAATGGAGTGCTAGTAATAGTAACTCAGTTCTTAGCTATTTCATACATTACAATTTCTAAGAACAAATAAGAAAATATAAATTAGAGAAGAGCTTTCATCTCTGCTTCAAGAAGGAAAACAAAGTAGACCTAGAAAGGTGGACCAGTCAACCTCCTCCTCTATCAGTTACTGATGTTTTTCTCCTTACAAAAATGCTCAGGAATAAACTTCAGTACAATAAATTTTAATCAGCCACCTCGGTGTATGGATTTTAGTAAATATTGTAAGGACTCCAGCAAAATTTATATGCTAATGAGAGATAGCATCATTCTTCTTTCAACAAACCGGCCATATCCCACCGAGGCAGGGTGGCCCAAAAAGAAAAACAAAAGTTTCTCTTTTCAAATTTAATAATTTATACAGGAGGAGGGGTTACTATCCCCTTGCTCCCGGCATTTTAGTCGCCTCTTACAACACGCATGGCTTACGGAGGAAGAATTCTGTTCCACTTCCCCATGGAGATAAGAGGAAATAAACAAGAACAAGAACTAGAAAGAAAATAGCAGAAAACCCAGAGGGGTGTGTATATATATGCTTGTACATGTATGTGTAGTGTGACCTAAGTGTAAGTAGAAGTAGCAAGATGTACCTGAAATCTTGCATGTTTTCTTTTTTCTTTCAACACACTGGCCGTATCCCACTGAGGTGGGGTGGCCCAAAAGGAAAAACGAAAGTTTCTCCTTTTACATTTAGTAATATATACAGCAATCCTACCATCATGTAAAACAATTACAGGCTTTCGTTTTACACTCACTTTGCAGGACGGTAGTACCTCCCTGGGCGGTTGCTATCTACCAACCTACTACCTAGAAGATAGCATCATATTTTAAATTATTTGGTTGACCATAGATTTAGATAATGAAAGATTGGATATCAAATTGGAAGGAGGGGGGTATGGAGGAAGTGAATGTGTTCAGATATTTGGGAGTGGACCTGTTTGTGGATGGGACTATGAAAGATGAGGTAAATTATACAATTGATGAGGGGGGTAAAAAGGTGAGTAGTGCATTGAAGCATCTGTGGAGACAAAGAACGTTATTCATGTAGGCAAAAAGGAGGAATGTATCAGATTATAGAGGTACTAACACACTTATATGGGTGTGAAGCATGGATTTTAAATGTTACAACAAGGTGGAGGCTGGAGGCAGTGGAGATATCATGTCTGAGGAAAATGTGTAGTGTGAATATTATGTAGAGAATTCATAGTTTGGAGATTAAAAGGAGGTGAAGAGTTATGAAAAGTATCCAGAGGGTTGAAGAGGGGTTTTGAGGCATTTTGGACATTTAAAAAGGATGGAGCAGAATAGGATGACTTGGAGGGTATATAAATCTGTAGTGAAGAGGAAACAAGGTAGGGTTTGTCCTAGGAAAAGTTGAAGGTAGGGAATAAAGGAGGTTTTATATATAAAGGGCTTGGACATCCAACAGGTATGTGACTGTGTTAGATAGGACTTGAGTAGAGGTAAGTGCTGGAACTCCAATGTGCTGTTGGAGTGTCAGCATTGTTACACTTAATGAAGGGATTTGGGGAAACTGGTTAGCTGGACTTGAGTCCTGGAGGTGGAAAGTACAGTGCCTGGGCTCTGAAGGAGGGAGTGGAGATATTTGCAGTTTGAAGGATCATCTGAACTGTGGCAAGACAGTGATGGAGTGAATGATGGTGAAAATGTTTCTTTCTTTTTTGGTCACCTTGCCTCAGTGGGATATGACCAGTGTGTTAAAAAAAATACAGGAATCTGTTATGTACTTGTTTCATTTATAAGTTTTTTTTATATATATATATATATACACCATCTTTCTCCCAACAAGGCAGGGTGATCTGAAAAAGAAGAAACAAAGAAACAAAAGTTTTTCTTTTTTTTTTACATTTAATATTTTATACAGGAGAAGTGGTTACTAGCCCCTTTCTCCTGATATTTTTAGTCACCTATTATGACACATTGGCTTATGGAGAAAGGATTCTTCTCCACTTCCCCATGGATGTTTATTATTATTTTCAATGCAATGGCTGTCTTCCACTGAGGCAGGGTGACCTAAAGAAAGAAACACTTTCACCGTCATTCATACATAATCACTGTCTTTGCAGAGGTACCCAGATACGACAGTTCAGATGTCACTCTGAACAGCCAGTATCCCAAACCCCTCCTTTAAAGTGCAGGCATTGTACTCCCACCTATTATTAATTACTGTTATATGCATAAGAAATATAATAATCTTATATATTAATGGTATACAATACAGGTCCTGTATATATATTGTAAGTTAAGGGATTATAATAAATAAGAACAAACAAAGTTAATATAAAGAAGAGGGCAGACACATGTACAAACAACATAGTGCTGTACTTCTTATACCTGGTGCAACCATGTGAGGATGCATCATATACACCTACCATCCGACTTACGACCTGCTCGACTTAGGACCACTCGACTTACGACCGTGTTTTTTATGCCAAATTCCTGGGAAATAAACAACTATTTGTGTTGTACACAGTGTTTATCCTAAACCTTACAGTATAAAATACAGTACTAACAACATAAAAAGTAAAGTAAAACATGAAATACCAAAATAAAACAATAAAACAAAGTCATTACAAAAATGTTTTGTTGATATTCAGTAGTAAAGTTCGACTTACGACCATTTCGACTTACGACCATTTCGACTTACGACCGGTTTCTCGGAACCGAACTCGGTCGTAAGTTGGATGGTAGGTGTACTTCTAGGTCATTCAGCTGTATAGCCCTTGTGGCTTAGCGCTTCTTTTGATTATAATAATAATCTAGGTCATTCAGCATAAATGAGATGCCCAGGGCAGCAAGTCAAGTTGTTGAAATATCATACTTTATATACCCTACTAGGCTTGAAAGCTCCTTGGCAAGAGCTTATGTATGGAAAAGACAAGTATTACAGTTTTTCACACTTTTCTTATCTTTACATTCAGAATCACATGTTAATATGATAAGGGTATAAAATACCGATGGGTTGATAAGTAAGACATGCAACAGTTAGAGATCTTTATTCTGAAATGTTTCACCTATGCAGTAGGCTTCTTCAGTCAAATACAGAGGAGGCAGCAGAAGCAGTAGAGATATAAAGATGGTATAATCAGTCCATCACCTTCTAAGACTTAGTTTTGAGGTGGTCAGTCCCTCAGCCTGGAGAAGAGTTCTGCTCCATAGTCTGGAACAATGTGAAGCTGAGGTACAGTGGACCCTCGTCTAACGAACACATCGCATAACGCTAAATCCGCCTAGCGATACATTTTAACGCAAAAAATTTGCCTCGGCTAGCGCTAAAAAACTCGCTCAATGCGATTCGTTCGAGACACGTCCACGTGTGGCCTGAGCGCGCCTCACTTGTCCCGTGGGTGCCAGTGTTTACAAGCCAGCCACCGCGGTCGCGTCCAAACATACAAATGGAACATTTCATATTATCACAGCGTTTCTAGTGATTGCACCTGCAAAATAAGTCACCATGGGCCCCAAGAAAGCTTCTTGTGCCAACCCTACAGCAAAAAGGGTGAGAATTACTATGGAGATGAAGAAAGAGATCTTTGCTAAGTATGAAAGTGGAGTGCGTGTCTCCGAGCTGGCCAGGTTGTACACAAAACCCCAGTCAACCATCGCTACTATTGTGGCCAAGAAAACGGCAGTCAAGGAAGCTGTTCTTGCCAAAGGTGCAACTTTGTTTTCAAAACAGAGATCGCAAGTGATAGATGATGTTGAGAGACTGTTATTGGTGTGGATAAATGAAAAACAGATAGCAGGAGATAGCATCTCTCAAGCGATCATATGTGAAAAGGCTAGGAAGTTGCATGACGATTTAATTAGAAAAATCCCCGCAACTAGTGGTGATGTGAGTGAATTTAAGGCCAGCAAAGATTGGTTTGAGAGATTTAAGAATCGTAGTGGCATACATAGTGTGATAAGGCATGGTGAGGCTGCCAGTTCGGACCAAAAAGCAGCTGAAAAATATGTGAAGGAATTCAAGGAGTACATAGACAGTGAAGAATTGAAACCTGAACAAGTGTTTAATTGTGATGAAACAGGCCTGTTTTGGAAGAAAATGCCAAGTAGGACCTACATTACTCAGGAGGAAAAGGCACTCCCAGGACATAAGCCTATGAAAGACAGGCTTACTCTGTTGATGTGTGCTAATGCTAGTGGTGATTGCAAAGTGAAGCCTTTATTGGTGTATCACTGAAACTCCCAGAGTGTTCAGGAAAAACAATGTCCTCAAGGCTAATTTGTGTGTGATGTGGAGGGCAAACAGTAAGGCATGGGTCACTGGAGACCTTTTCTATGACTGGTTAAACCATGCATTTGCCCCCACTGTAAAAAATTACCTCCTGGAAAATAAATTGGACCTTAAGTGCCTCCTGGTATTAGACAGTGCTCCTGGTCATCCTTCAGACGTGGCAGAGCGACTTTCTGGGGACATGAGCTTCATTAAGGTCAAGTTTTTGCCTCCTAATACCACTCCTCTCCTGCAGCCCATGGTCCAGCAGGTCATTGCAAACTTCAAAGAACTCTACACAAAAGCTATGTTTGAAAGGTGCTTTGTAGTGACCTCAGAAACTCAATTGACTCTAAGAGAGTTTTGGAGAGATCACTTTAGCATCCTCAATTGTGTAAACATTATAGGTAAGGCTTGGGAGGAAGTGACTAAGAGGACCTTGAACTCTGCTTGGAAGAAACTGTGGCCAGAATGTATAGACAAAAGAGATTTTGAAGGATTTGAGGCTAACCCTGAGAAGCCTATGCCAGTTGTGGAATCAATTGTGGCATTGGGGAAGTCCTTGGGGTTGGAGGTTAGTGGGGAGGATGTGGAAGAGTTGGTGGAGGAGGACAATGAAGAACTAACCACTGATGAGCTGCAAGATCATCTTCAACAGCAAGAGGCCAGACCTGAGGAAACTGCTCCAGAGAAGGGGATAGAGAAATTGAAGAAGTTGTCTCCTTCGAAGATTAAGGAAATGTGTGCAATGTGGCTTAAAGTGCAAATCTTTTTTGATGAAAATCACCCTCACACAGCTATTGCAAGCCGTGCTGGTGACTATTACACTGACAATGTTGTGAAACACTTGAGGAATGTCATAGAGGAATGGGAGGTACAGGCCTCTATGGACAGATATGTTGTGCAACAGAGGTCCAGTGACTCTCAAGCTGGTCCTAGTGGCATTAAAAGAAGAAGGGAAGTAACCCCGGAAAAGGACTTGCCACCTCAAGTCCTAATGGAAGGGGATTCCCCTTCTAAACATTAACACGATCCACACACTCCCCTCCTCCCATCCCATCAATCATCACCAGATCTTCAATAAAGGTAAGTGTCATGTAATTGTACATGTCTTCTTCAGTTTGTGTGTATTAACCCTTTCAGGGTCCGTCCCGTAGATCTACGGCTTTACGTTCAGGGTCCAAACCGTAGATCTACGTCATGAGCTCAGCTCACTCTGATAAACTGTGAGTGGTACATTTGGGCCTAGATATGAGAGAATACATCTATGTGGTATGTGTGCACCACATAAAACAAATCCTGCAGCACACTGTGTATAATGAGAGAAAAAAAACTGAGACCATGATTTTCGATTAAAACAGCGACTTTGCAGTGTTTTTTCGTATGTTTTTTATAGTTGTATTTGTGATTTCTTGATCTCATTTGATAGAATGGAAGACATATTACAGAAATAGAGATGATTTTGATTGGTTTTAGCACTGGAAATGGCTTGAAACTGAGCTCAAAGTAGCGGAAATGTTAAATTTTTGCCGATGTTCAAGAGTAAACAAACGACCTCACACGTCTAATACATGCCAGCTGGTGGGTCTAATATACATTCACAAATGTGGTGATGATATTTATAAAATTATTACAATATTGCATAACAGTAAATCTTCTATTTTTTGGTGTGAATAAAAAATCAAAATGGAATTTATTTGTAAAGCCTCAAAACATAACTAATGAACAGAGAAAATGTTAGTTTAGTGCCAGGAATACCTACATTATTTATTCTGGACCCTATTTTGAAATTGGAATATTTTGAACTTTGTGTTAAATTGGCCAAATTACCAATTTCCGATCACTTTATTTTGTAGTTGAAACAGTTGACTTGTCGATTTCTTGTGCTCAATCGATAGAATAGAAGTAATACTAGTGAAATAGCTAAGAATTTGGTCGACTGGAATAATGTAATTAGCCTAAAATGGGAGTCAAAGTCGGCAAAATCGCCGATTCGTATATATCGCTGACACATCAAAATTCGCAAGAGCATAATTTCGTCAATTTTCCATCAAATTTTGTACTTTTTGTTTTATTACCTTCACAAAAAGATTCTCTACCATTTCATAAGAAAAAATAATTTTTTTTTTTTTTGAAAATTCTTGGACACTGGGGCACCACTTCAGATTTTGGCCTTGGACCCTGAAGGGGTTAAAATTAATATTTCATGTGGGAATTTTTTTTTTTTTTCATACTTTGGGATGTCAGGAATGGATTAATTTGATTTCCATTATTTCTCATGGGGAAAATTAATTCGGCTAACGATAATTTCGCCTAACGCTGAGCTCTCAGGAACGGATTAATATCATTAGGCAAGGGTCCACTGTATCAGAAAGGAGGTTTACCAGGACTTGACTTCTGGAGGCAGGAGGTACAGTGCTCATATTCTGGAGGGGTGAGGAGATGAGGGTTATTTGATTTATGTTTGATGATCACTATTGAATGAATAATGGTAAACATGTTTCCTTGTTTGGGTCACATTGCCTTGGTGGGAGATGACCAGTGTGTTGAAACTGTACTTGGTCAAAATTTTAAGGAAGCACTAAGAAAGATATGGACAGTCTTAATGCCTCATTACTGATCTCCAGGTATCAGTGGCCTGGATAAAGTTGATTCTAGTGTAATTTAAAGTTAAATGGTTTTTATATAGAATTATCATTTATATTTTTTTTCAGGCTCCAAGTTGGCATGTTTCCGTGCTGGAGCATCAGTGGTTCCAGCTTTAAAAAGTCGCTTCCATATTAACATGACTGATGAACAACTCCAGGCTCATCTGGACTCATTGGTGTATAATGCCATCAACTCTATTACAACAAGACTTTATGATGGCTTTCAATACTTCACCAATGGCATACTCTAGCCTAGAGAGGCCTGTGCCTTCATACAATATATATGATGCCGGTTCATCAAGTAGCATAAAGCAAAAAAACTGTGTATCCTGGTCCAAGTTTGCGTGTATCAAAATGAAAGTCGTTTGGTCTAGGTTGTGTATAAAAAAAATCACTAGTGGCCCATTTCAAGTGATGACTTACCAGACTGGTGTGACTTGCTGTAAATGGTAACCATATACAGAACTGGTGTGACCTGGGCCAGGTGGTGTTAAGTGGAACAAGTGTAACTTCAACTAGGTCATGTACAGCAATCATTGGGGTAACTCAGTCCAAGATTTGCATTTTGACAGGTTTGATTTGACTGTAATAATAACATATACCAGAAATAATGTGATCACCTATCTGTAGTTACAGGAACAGAGATGTGCCGATGGTGATTGGTGAAGATGGTGTGTGTGTGTGTATGCACTAGGTCAAAGTTGGTTCCCAGATTTTCTGGGTTGTTGAAATTCCTTGTTAAAATTGATGGAAGGTTTAATACTGGTACATGAATTAACTCAGATGAGAGTATTGGGTCAAGAATTAATGAACTGGACTGTGAAGAGATTAATTACTGTAGGTGAATGTGTGCAGATGTGAATGTCAAAAAATTGTAGACATTATTTACCAAAGAAAAGACCAAGAAGTGGAGTTCAGGTGGCAGATAGCAAGAAATCATTTTCACCTTATAAAGTTACACTGTTTATCTTGGTATTTTCTCAAGTTCTACAACATTGAAACAGACATCAATTCCATTAAAATTTTGTATTTTCAGAGGACTGTCCAGTCATTGTCTGGACTTCTGGAATGTACTCTTTACTGTTTTGTTAATATTGTTTGCAGCTCAAAATATTAGTCATGGCTTGTAATTCATAATTTTACCCATTTCCTGTGGAATCAAAATTATTAATATTGGTTTCTTGGTTTGTGCTTTGCATTTTTATCCTTTTCCAACTGCATTCCTGATCTGGCTGGAGCATAAGGTTCAGTATTATTAGTAGATGTCCTTCATAGCTGTCCACGAGTCATTGTATTTTTATATGAAAGAATAATTAATGTGAATATAGATAGTTTTTTTTTTTTTTTTTAGAAATTATTCTAGAAATAATTTACAGAAGCTTTAACCACTCACAAAATCAAGGGTTCAAGGGTTATTGTCCCTATATCAGTGCCAACCAAGTGAGGGGTGTTGGCAGAGAGTTCTCCTCTATCAGTCTGCCAAACCAGTTTGACACTGAGATTAACTTTAGTGTCAGCCAAGATTGCAGCTTTGGTGTTTCAGCAAAGTGAGAATGTGGCTCAGAGTAACATTGTTATTAATCAAGTGGGTAGGTGGGGGCCACCTTTATCATCAAATTATGTACCAACAGACTGTTTGTAGTTTCAAATCAAGTGCTTGTTAATATTTGACCATATATCAGTGAATTGGAAGTTGTGATACTGGTTCATTAATCAGTCAAATGAGCACTAGTTTACAGATTCTTGCACAAGTGTCAGTAAAGTCTGGAGTATAAGTGAGTGTTGATTATGATCCACATATCATTGTCAGTAGTGTGCGTGTATTGGTGCTAGCTTGTGTATTTTTACTATTCAGGTAAGTCTGTGGTTACTTGGCCTTGTGGCACTGATACTCTTGCCACATTCTCTGAAGTGCTCACAAAGAGGAAGTTGAATGAATGTATGTACATTAGTCCACTTACTTTCCTGGCAGCAAAAAAAAATTACCTTCATTATTTTATATATTTATGCCCTTTTGTACAATGAAAAAATGTAATACAAGTGTTTACTTACTAGGAGTTTTTTTGTAGTCTCACATTGGATTAATGGTGTGTATACAAGGTGAGACATGTAGCCTTCCCTGCCTCACCCCTCACAGGTCTCTCATCTCTGCATACAGTATGTCGTCCATTACTCATAAAGGATAGCTAGATCACTTTTGTAATACATCATGAGGCTCTTGTATGCCAATATATTATTATAAATGCAATGCTTTTGATCCTATAAGACTTTTTGCTTGTCTTTGTTTCATTGTAAGTACTGTACATAGTGAGCATTGACTGGTTCAGACACCTTGCACACAGCAGTTGCCACAAAACTTGGGGGAGGGGGTTGCAGTATCTGCAAAGTTCTATTTTATTGATAAGCTTGTGAATCAGCTAAGTTAAAATTCAGAAAATCATAATTGAATGCAGGATATGGTTGTGGCAACTCCTAGTTCTGACCTGTTGTCAACATATTTTGTTCTCATATTCAATAAACTGTTAAGAAAACTTTTTTTTTTTTTCTGAGATCTACAAATACTGGTGTCCCTAATTTTATACTGTAGATTCATTCCAGGCCCTTGGCACCTGTACTACACTCATTCAGGTAACCATTGTGCATAAGATTATTTAACCCTTTGACTGTTGAGACCCCAAATCCTGAAGTCTCTCTCTCTCGGTCGCAAAATATTTGAAAAAAAAAAAAAAAATCTTGTGAAATGATAGATAATCTTCCCAATGATAATGACATCAAAAGCATGAAATTTGATGAAAAAATTACGGAATTACGCTCTCGCAAAGTTAGTGATCTCGGCGCTATATACGTATTGGCAGTTTCGCTCCCCTTGAGCCCTATTTTCGGCCAATTCCATTGTCCCAGTTGACCAAACTCATGGCTGTTTTTTTAGAACTCCATTTGTTTGTCAACCGAGTACAAGAAACCGCCCACTTACCGATTAAAAAAGATCCCAATTGCAAAATAGGGTTCAGAATAAACAATGCAGACATTCCTGGCACTAAAATAACATTCTCTCTGTTCATTAGTCATGTGTCTTGTTTTCTATTTTGAATTTTTATTCAAAAAAATAAAAAATTTACTGTTATGCAGACTAATGCATTATTGTAATAATTGTATAAATAATGTCAACTCATTAGACTGGCCAGTTGGACACGTATTGGACGGTGACGTCATTTGTTTACTTTTGAATATCAGCAAAAATTGAACATTTCTACTTCTTTGAGGTCAATTTTGAAGTCCTTTTTGTCATGAAACCAATCAAATTCATCTCTGTTTCTGTAATATATCTTCCATTCTATCAAATGAGACCAAGAAAACAAGAATACAACCATAAATACTATACGAAAATACGCCTCAAAGTCGGCATTTTAATCCAAAAATACGGTCCGAGTTTTTTTTCTCATGCACTTCGTGCTGCAGGATTTTTTTTTATACTGCGCACACAGACCCATTCTCTCACGTGGGCCTACCAGCTTTCTCCCACTTGATTTGAAGCCGCTAGAATTTTGGCATATTAATACGTCAAAAACACTGGCTCATAAGATGTATATATACGTCACAGACAGTCAAAGGGTTAATGTGTTTTGCAAACTGTCCTCAAGGCATACAATGACCATGGAAACGCTGATAGAAATAGGACATTTTGCATATTGCCAAATTCACATAAAGCCAAGGAGATCTGCTACTGTACTTTCATGTTCTTTTATATGTTAATTTTTTGATGAGGTGAAGGGTGTAATAAAAAGAGAAAAAGGTTGCTTGTGAGAGGTTTTACAAAGAAGTGATAAAAGAAGGATGGAGAGTAAAAGAGGGGTGAGAGAGTGCAAAATGAGAGCAAATGGAGTGGGCGAGGTACTGTCCGCAAATTTTGCTGAGAATAAGAAAAAAAATTGGAGATAAATAGGTTAAGAATACCAAGGGAATAAATGGATTTGACAAAAACAGAATAGGGAAATTAGTAGATGGGGAGTTGGAAATATTGCATGTTGATGAGAGGAAGGCAGTAATTTCATGCATTGGCCAGGGAGGTATGGGGGAGGTGCATGAGGCACTGGGTAGAATGAAAGGGGGGTAAAGCAGCTGGAACTGATGGGATCATGACAAATGTTAAAAGCAGGGGGAGGGGAACATAGTTTTGGAGTGGTTCATACTTTTGTTCACTATATGTATGAAATAGGGTAAGGTACCTAGGGATTGGCAGAGTGTATATTTCCTTTATACAAAGGGAAGGGGACAAGAGAGATTGAAAAATTATAGGGGAATAAGTTTACTTAGTATACCTGGTAAAGTGTATGGTAGGTTTATTATTGAAAGAATTAGAGGTAAGACAGAGAGGAGGACTGCAAATGAACAAGGAGGCTTTAGAATGGGTAAGGGATGTGTAGATCAAGTTATAAAACTGCAACATTAGCACCCCTCCAGAGTGCTGGCACTGTACTTCCCATCTCCAGGAATCAATATTTAGATAATGGTAGGGACATTCTCATTGCATTTAAGGATTTAGAAAAGGCATTTAACAGTGATTGTGTGAATGATGGTGAAAGTGTTGAATGATGACAGTTTTTTTTCTTTCTTTTTGGGTCACCCTGCTCAGTGAGAAATGGCTGATGTGTTACAAAAAAAAAAAGACAGGGTGGATAGGATAGGGGAGCAATGTGGAAGATGTTGCAAGTGTATAGAATAGGTAGTAAGTTACTAAATGCTGTAAAGAGTTTTTATGAGGATAGGGAGGCTCAGGTAAGGGTGTGTAGGAGGGAGAAAGATTACTTATCAGTAAAAGTAGGCCTTAGGGATGTGTAATGTCACCATGGTTTTTTTTTTTTATAGATGGGGCTGTAAAAGAAGTAAATGCTAGGGTATTGAGGAGAGGGGTGGGATTAAAGTATGGGGAATCAAATACAAATGGGAGCTGACACAGTTACTTTTTGCTGATGATACTGTACTTTTGGGAGATTCTAAAGAGAAGTTGCAAAGGTTAGTGTACGAGTTAGGTAAAGAAAAATTGAATATCACATTATAGGGAGGGAGTATGCAAGAAGTGAATGTGTTTAGATATTTGGGAGATTTTTTGGCAGATGGGCTTATGAAGGATGAGGTTAACCATAGAATTGATGAAGGAAAAAGGGTGGATGGTGCATTGAGGTATCTGTGGAGACAAAGAACGTTATCCATGGAAACAAAGTAGGGAATGTATGAGAGTATAGTGGTGCCAACATTCATATATGGGTGTTACAAAAAATGCGATATCTAATAATAGAGATCTCCAGTGAATACTAGAAAGGACTGCCCTTCTAGCATCCAGCCTGTTACTAGGTTCTTGTAACAAGTAGTCGGTATCCTGGTCCAATTATCCATTAGAATTTAGTAAGATTCAATAGTGCTTCAGGATTACAACTTGTAGGCTACTAACTAAAGAAATTAAAATTTAATAAGTTTATTAATAACAATAAAGTTGTCTAGGCGTATATTATCAAAGTAAATTATAGTAATAAATTAAATATAATATAAGATACAAGTTCCTACACTTCTCTCATGTACAGTAGTATTGAGCTGAAGGCTCATATCACATCTTTATGGCTTTTAATTACCGTCTGGTACATTGTTAGCATTTAATAACATAATACAAATATATACAAGTAAGTTTGTGTGTATGTGTGTAAGTGCTCTAAGTATAGTTCGCTATGTCTCAAGACTCTACTAGACTTAACCAGTGACTGACTAAAAGTCCTCACATAAACTAACTTCTTGACCAACCTGGCAATCAGAACAGCTTGCTTGACTGATAAAACGACTGATAAGCCAAACAGCAATATAACAAGCAACAGCGACACAATCGGGAACAAGGAGATAATATAATGGCACTAAGTAGGGACCATCTGCAGATCCTCCACAAAAGTCACAAAACTCCCATGGTACTGAATCTAAGTTCAGCATTAGAAAATCCCCGACTGTGACAGTACACAGATACCAGTACAAATTAGGTTAGAAGCTACAGCTCAGGACCTGAGTTTCTCAGAGTGTCTATGTGACACACAACCTCAGTACAATGTCGAAAATCACTAAGTCTAGGCTATGTTTTGAGAACAGAGTTACACAGAACCAACAAGAAGAAAGCGACAGACGTTCTTCCAACAAGGGCCCACAATGGAGAGCTGGAGAGGGACCTCTTGTTAGAAGCAACATCAAAAAAACAATAGCTAGCGCAGGCCAGTCAGACTCTCCTCCAGGTAAGGTGTGATCACCCCACCCTGATCACGTGACTCTCCGTGGACTGCTGCTGCCCAGCAACTACAGAGAAGCCATCAGGGAAACAAGCAGAGCGATAGACAAGGCCGACAGCTACTTAACACTCGTGGACTATGAGCACTGAATAATATATAAATGTTACATCCTACCTAATAATATAACTAAATCAAATAATAATATAAAGCAATATATTTACGATTTAGCTAATATTGCAGATATAAGCAATATAAAATTATATGAACAGTTAATATACATTATATACACTGTGACCCATTCAGGGGTCGCAATAATGGGTGTGAAGCATGGGTTATAAATTCTGCAGCAAGGAGGAGGCTGAGAGGCAGTGGAGATGTGTCTAAGGGCAATGTGTGGTGTAAACGTTATGCAGAGAATTTGTAGTGTCAAGTTACTAAAAGTATTATTCAGAGAGCTGAAGAGGGGTTGTTGAGGTGGTTTGGTCATTCAGAGCAGATGGAGCAAAACTGGCTGACTTGGAGGGTGTATAAATCTGTAGTGGAGGGGATGAGGGGTAGGGGTCATCCTAAGAAAAGATGGAGGGAGGGGGTAAAAGATGTTTTGAGTGCAAGGGACTTGGACAAACAGCAGACATGTGTGAGCATGATAGATAGATAGTGAATGGAGATGAATGGTTTTTGGGATCTGACGAGATGTTGGGGTGTGAGCAGGGTAATATTTTGTGAAGGGATTCAGGGAAACTGGTTAGCCAAACTTGAGTCCTGGAGGTGGGACGTACAATGCCTGCACTTTAAAGGAGGGGTTTGGGATACTGGCAAAGGCAACCAGATGCTGTTGTATCTGGGTGCCTCTGTAAAGACTGATTATTTATAAATGATGGTGACAGTGTTTCTTTTTGGGGTCACCTTGCCTTAGTGGAAACAGCGAAACTGTTAAAAAAAAAAAAAATATTAAGTGTGGTGTATGCAATGAAAGCTAATCTTTTTTGACATAATTTCATTATATTCAGTACTTGTGATTAAAGTACCCTGGGTGGAAGGCACCCAGTGTAATTTAATGTCCAGTGTAATACCCTACCCTAGTACATTTGTGGCCAGGCAACTCGAAGTGGGACATCTTAGGATTCATAGAGCTACTGGCTGCACCCTAAGTAACTTCTTGGCATGCATGGTGGATGGTTTTGGGTCCATGGTCCCCATGTACTGTGTGGTCCTAAGGACTTGAGTTTGTTGGATATTTCTGGCCATTGATGAATTAATATGGGCAGGAG